TTATTAACTAATTCTTCTGAGGAATTGCATGAGTTTTATAACCGCCATACTTCGTTACCCGCTTTTTGTTGGCATATTTTATCCGATATTCATCCAGGCACTTTAGTTTTTATAGCGGTTTCAACGCTAGTATGCTCTAGCTTTTCACCTACTGTTTCTAGCTGTCCAAGCATTTTTTTCGATTATCTCAACAGTTGACTTCTACTTCCTGTCATTTCCTTTTATGGAACTTAGCTTGTAGTAGAGGCGGCTCCCCAAATCTTTCCCCATTTTTTGTTTAATAATATTTTTCTTCCAACCCTATAATTTCCCGTTGCTCTGTCACAGTCTACTACTGCTTGTAAGACGTTTTCGTTTAAGCAGAGTTCAATTTTTGGATGTCTAGAATTTTCAACTTTTGAATGTCTAGAATTTTTTGAGAGTGTGCTGCAGCATTGAAACTGCTCCAGAACTTCCTCCAGCCTTTAAGGTCACCACTGATTAATGACAGCTACGGCAGATAAGCTACTTGAAGAAACTCTTTCTTTGAGAAACTCTCTCAGTTGTTTCCTTGTCCCTATCACTTTGAGCTAGACATCAAAGAGGCAACATAGTTTCCCTGTCCTTATTCCTTATCACTTTGACCCAGACATCGAAGAGCCTACTTATAGTCGAATTCAAAATACTTTTGTCGTCGTTCGCCATTTCTGCATACTTCTTATGCTAATTTGATTACTCAAATGGCCAAGAACAACAATTTTCGTTCATAGACGCAAGCCGATTCAGTAAATGGTCTAAACTAATAAAGTAACCATTTTTACGCTCAGATTCATCAAACGCATATAACAAGGAAAAAATTCGAATGGTTAAACCCGATCTCGGAAGGCTTATCACACTCAACAGTGAAGGAAGTTGTCATAGTTCGACGAATGCTAATCAGACAAGCAACGACGGTGAAATAGCTAAATGATATCTTTATTATGATGAGCTCGGAACTAAATAAAAACAATAAGTACCCCATTTATGTACCCAGACAGACACAACATAATAACCGAGCTCCTTACAATGTACTATCACGAAAATTTGCATCATATGGAGTCGTTATCAACAATGAGAAATGCGTACTAGATTCCAAAGGGTATAACGAGTTTTAAAGCGAGTTTTACATCACTGTATGGCCTGCAAACGTTGGATTTCCAAACCATTTAAATTGTGCTATGGCAAACTTACCAGAATCACAAGTTAAACGTTCAC